TCTCTTAGCTTGTTCCCCCTCTACTCGTTTTAGACGATTTTAATGCACATCACACTGTGTGGTGTGTGCTTCCGCGAACACTCGCGGTAGGCTATGTGAGGCTTTCATGCGTGGCGAAGGTTTGTGTGTCTTAAATACAGGGGCAATAACGCATTTAACATTGCCATCAGGACAATCGCCAGTGCCTTTGTAGTCCGCAGTTGGTACCAAACTTCACCTGGGATGCTTCAGAGGACCCCCTTGGAAGTGACCATTTCCGGTCTGGGTTCGGTACCGTGGTGGTGCTGTTCTTGGTACTCGACCTCAACGTTGGAATTTCAAGAATGCGGATTGGAGTGGATTTGAAACCCGCCTGGAGGAAACCTTTTCTAGCGATTTCGACTCTGCAAATCCGACTACGGAGGAATTTACGTCTCTCGTTTTGGGTGCGGCGAAAGGATGCATTCCGCACACCTCTGGATGCCCTCGTCACACCCCTGTACTTTGGTGGAGCGACGAGTGTCGCGACGCTATTCGTGCACGTCGGAGAGCTTTTAGGGCTTTTAACCGGCACAACAGCACATTAAACCCCATGACTTTTAGGCAAGCACGCGCGGCCGCGCGCCGCACTATACGAAAGGCGAAACGTGTATCATGGCGCACCTACGTCAACTCAATGAATCGGCACACACCGATGTCACATGTATGGGGCCGCATTAAAAGAATCGCCAGACTGCATCTACCAGTTTCCTTTCCCGTGCTGCGGGTGGGAAGTCAAGACATCACTCACCCAAGTGATGTCGCGGAAGACATTGGGGAAGCCTTGTCAGACCGTTGCCGAAATGACATCTGCGATCTACGGTTTTTGCGGCATCGGGCGCGATGTGAAACTTCGCAAGTTAATTTTTATACAGGTGACATCCTGATGTACAACAAGCGTCTCACTGTGGTGGAACTTGAAGCGGCCATTCGCTCGCTGCGTAGTGTAGCGGAGGGGTCCGACCTCATCCACAGTGATATGGTACGTCATTTTCCTCCCCGTATACTACGAGCACTGCTGGCAATTTTCAACTGTACATGGGTGTCAGGTAACGTACCGCCAGCCTGGCGGAGTCCATAGTAGCGCCTATTTTAAAGCCTCGGAGAAGTGGAACGAACGCCCTTGACTATCACCCGATCGATCTCACATCTTCGCTTTGTAAGCTCATGGAAAGAACTGTGAATGTGCGGCTCTCGCGGACTTGAGAACGTCAAAACGTTTTCACGAATGCTCAGAGCGCATTCCGTGAGGACAGGAGCACGATTGACCACATCTTTACCCTTGACACTGCAATGCGAGCCGGTTTTATTAACAAACATAATACCGGCGCCATTTTTTGACATAAAAAAAGCATACGATACCACATGGAGACATGGAATTTTGATGAAGTTGCTCGATTGTGGCCTTCGCGGTCACATGGGAAAGCTTTTACCAAACGTTTGAATGACAGATCCTTTCGGGTGCGTGTTGGTTCTCATCACTCCGACAGATATCCGCAGGATAATGGTGTGCCTCAGGGTAGCTTATTAAGTATCATTCCTTTCACCGTGATGATTAACGACATAAGGGGCACGCTTCCACATGGGATCAGCCGTTCTCTGTTCGTAGACGACCTCGCTATCTGGTGTAGCTCGTCGACCACTCGCACGATGGAGCGACAGCTGCAGCTGGATGTTACACGTCTAGAGAGGTGGAGTGTGCTCGATGGTTTCCGGTTTTCCACGTCGAAGACAACTGTAGCCCATTTCTGTCGTCGTCGCTGTCACTGTCCTGAAATGGAAATCAAGCTGTATGGGCAACGCGTCGCCAATGACAGTACCGTGGAATTTCTCGGTATACGATTTGACCGACGCCTAACATACCGTGAGCATACAAGAAACCACCGCGACAAATGTTTAAAATCTCTGAACATTCTAAAGTGCGTAAAACGTACATCATAAAATGCTGATAAGAGGGCACTGTTACTTCTATATCGTTCCCTGATTCGTTCAAAACTTGATTACGACTGTTTTATCTATGACGGTTCTTCAGACCTGATCAAAAGTACTTTGAACACGGTGCATCACGCCGCACTACCTATTGCCGCAGGGGCGTTTCAAACATCGCCCATAGATAGCCTTCTGGTGGGGGCTCGCGAGCCCCCGCTAGCATTGCGAAGGCAGATGCTGGGACTGCGCTACACGTGCAAGCTGGCGCAGTTCCCAGATCATCCCACCTACAAAGCAATGTTTTCGCATGACTTACGAAGGCTTTTTCTACGTCAACGGCCTCCACAAACTTCTCCCTTTTGTGTACGAATGACAGAACTTTTCGATGCAAGCGTCTTCAACCTACGACGTGTTATCAGACCTAAACCCATGATGACTGCTCCTTGGGAGCTAGCATCGCCAAGAGTGGATGTTTCGCTATCAAACATTCAAAAGCAACGCGTCCTCATGACGGAACTTCAAGGCGCAGCCTTAGAGCACATAGCCTACTTTGACGGGTACCTGATGACTTATACAGATAGTTCGAAGACGAATGCAGGTGAAGGGTGCGCTTTTGTGTGCATATCCACAACTCTGTCATTCACACTGCCTTCACACGCGTCGATCGTCACTTCCGAGCTTATAACCATCAGCAAAGCTCTCTGTTTCATTGAAGTGGACGGTAGCAGTCTCCATTTGATTCTTTCCGACTCCTTGGGCAGCCTCCTGGCTGCTGGTGGCTTCTCCTCGTCGAATCCACTGGTCCAGGACATTCAATCGCGTCTTAGCTCACTGGATCGAGGAGGAAAAACGGTCGTACTATGCTGGATCCCAAGTCACGTGGGAATCTGCGGTAATGATCTTGCGACGCGGCAGCAAAGCGCGCTACGACAGGGACACGCATTCCTTTAACACCACTACCAGCTCAAGACATGTACCCCGAAGTGTCGTCGTTAATGCAGAGGCGATGGCAGTTCCACTGGAACTCGGTGAGCGCCAACAAGCTGCAGTCCGTGAAACCCCGTATTGGACTATGACAGTCGTGTTTTCGGGACAATCGGAGAGAAAAAGTTTGCTCTTCGCCGGTTGCAGATAGGCCACACATATGTTGCGCACCGTCACCTGTTATTGGCTGGCAACAGACCATGCTGCCGTCGATACTCTGACCCGCTGACTGTGCATCATATACTGGTCGCTTGCCGTCACCTCACTGCAACGAGAGCGCAGTTTTCGGACACCACGTCCTGAATCGCACACTATGTGAATTTTTAGGGGATTATTCGCACGCTGTGGACTTTGGTAAAGTGCTCCAGTTTCTTCGCGCTAGAGATTTCCCAGTCATCTTTTCATCATGATACTAGGCCTGATCATCAAGGCTTTATATGATGACTTGATCGATGCACTTGCCTGATTGGCAGTTCTGCATAAATTGATAGTTATGGGTGCTGCATGACCTGCAGCAGTCCATGCGCCCTAAAACACCAAATCATCATCATCATCATCATCCAAAATTTTACCGAAAAGAAGTGGAGAATGTCCATTGCCAAGCAGCAAAGTCCATATTTTGTTTATACTCTTTTTTCCTTTTTGACTATCTGAATTGTTCATGAAATGCGCTATGGAAAAGGCTACGAATCATATTGTGCTGAGTGGAAGTTGGGTGCGTAGATTTGTAATGCAGAATCACACCAGAATGGGTAGGCTTGATTAAGAGCTACCAGTCCGAGCAGCCTTAGCTGTACCCCGATAGCGGTCTGGGATATGTGCTGCGTGACGTTTAAAATACGCTGGCAATATGCGTGGTGACAAAATCTGGGCAGCTTCGGGCTACATGACACTGAAACTTTTTGACACTTAGAGACACTGATTTCTTCGGAGAAGGCAGTCTGTTTCAGTAGATGCAAAATATGCCATATCACGTAGAGCATAAGCGTATTTGCGTCTGTATCTTCTAGAACCTATGGAAATAATTCAAAACAATTAAAAACAAATGTTTTTTGTAGAAGTCTTTCTCACGGAGCCATCGGTCTGTCTCGTTAGTGCAACCAGTGTTTTCAGTAGTCCGCCATCCACAGGTAGATTGGCTTTCTGGAAATATATCGCATTGCGCAGGTAATACGAGAACGGATCTTCCTTGACAGAAGACGACGCTTGAGGATAAGAAAAGAAAGACGCACACTCGCCGAATTGTATTGCAACGAGGCAATCACGGCTGAAACAATAGTACATAACTGGAAGCATCATGCATGCTTTCCCCGGAATTTCGCGTTTCGCCTACACGATTATCAGTTGTTATGTACAAGTTCGTGCCTTCTCTTTTTGTTAGTTTCCACCAGAAAAACACATTATGCTGCGTGTAAACAGGATGCGTAATGACGCCTTAAAGTGTTGTAGACTGTTCAGCTGTTGGCTGCTGGCTGCGCAGTCGCGAGAACAGACATCATAGACTTGAAAATTTAGTTCCACAACCAGGATGTAACGTTGTTCCTGCAGGCTGATATAACAGGCTAACAAGAGCACAGAGCACGTGACATCTGACAAATTGGCGAGGACGTGTACATTTGTGTATCAAATTATTTCACATTATGTTTGGAAACAAATTAGAAAGCGAACTCCTGCTTATGGCTGTCAAGCACGACGAATTCACCAAATCTGACGAAATTTAGTGCGTCATGAATGATCGACAAGAACGCACGCGTAACGTCCTCAGGTTGCATACAGACATGAGATCTCTCGGTCTTTTCATACACGCTCTGCTATCGTAGAAACATGAACATGAGCTTATGGGATAAACACTCTCAGGAAATTTAGGTACATTCCATCGCAACGTGGCTATGAGGTAATGAAAATCGCATTATTACAAACCGATTCTAAATCCCCATGGTCATTGACGCGCTGATGGAGTCGGAAGCATTATTTCATTTCGGTGTATCAACACAGGACATCAGTGGTTTATAACCTGGCGGTGACTGAGGGGCACGAGGTGGCGGCAACTCAGCTACCTTTTCAACGTTCTAAAACAGATGCTGAATCTGTTCTAGCGAAAGACCCTTGGTTTCCTTCAGGCAAAATGTGGCAAAGAACACCTGGCACAGGCTTACCAGCGAGTGGATGACGAAGCCTCCACCCAGACCAATCCCATCTCTGATTAGTGGGTACATTTTTAGCAGCGCAAATAGACTCAAATTCATCACAACGAGGACAATGTTCGCGCCCGAGGTGCGCGTTTTGTTGGGCAGCAACTCGGTGACGTAGTTGAATGCGACGTTGGCGAGCATGCCGACAAAGGCCACCTGCGTCAGCCCAGCGCCCGCCAGCACAATCCAGCCGAGACGCTCCTGGGGTTCCGCGGCCAGGAAGAAATACGCGGCGACAGCGGCGCAGCCAATGGCAGAGAGCACGCCTCCCAGACGCAGTACCGGTAGCCGGCCGTATCTTTCGATGATGATGCCGCCGGGCACGCAGACGAGCGCAGCGAACGCGGCCGGTAGCGTGGCTCGCTGGTACTCGCTTAGTGAAATCTGCACCGGATCCAGCACGAAGGCGGTGATGAGCAACAGCGTGGCGCCGCCGCACCAAGCGAACTGTACCATCTGGATGGAGGCCAGTAGCAGCGGGCGCCACGTGCCCGGCTGACGCAGCAGCGTCCACACGGGCAGTGCGGCGCCGTCCGCATGTGCGTGCTGCAGTGAATCGTGGATACTGCGTACCTCAGCAGCGGCGTCCACCTGCGTGCCGCGGAAGAACTGGATGGAGCGCACGGCTTCCTCCTCCGAGTGGCCGCGCGAGAGCAGCCACTTGGCCGAGTTGGGCAGGAAGAGGAGACCGGAGAGGCAAAGCGCGGCCGGCACCACGCCTACCACGATGAACAGCACCTGCCAGCGCAGCAGCGGTGCCACAGCCAGAACCAACACCTGGCCCAGGTACAGCATGAAGCTCAAAAGGGCGCTAAAGAGGGCACGGCGCGTGGGCGGCACAATCTCAGACATATAACCACGCACGCTGCCCTCGGGTATGCCGAGCGCGACGAACATGGCCACCCGGCCGCTCAACGTCCAGCCGAAGTGGTCGCCGAGGCCGACCGCCAGCGAACCGAGCGCGTACAGCGGCATGATGAGCAGCAGCAGGCGCCGCGCGCCTAACGCGGGCGCCACCGGCGCGCCCAGCAGGCCGCCCAGCACGGCGCCCAGCGTTGTGGCGGCGATCGACCAATTGAGCTGGTCGGCGCTGAGGAATCCGTCAGGATCGTCCGGCACCTGGATGAGGGTGACGCTGTGCATGCCGAAGTTCAAGCCCATGGCCAGCATCAGCTGACCCACGACCACCAAGGCCAACACCTGCAAGGAAGAAAAGATGCTATGATGATGGGGTGGGGGGTGGGGGGGGTCTTTTCAATAGCTGTCTCTTGATATCCGAGACTGCAAAAAGTTGCGGTCTTATCTTGTTGTAACTTTTCTTTCCTTTTAAAGTATCCCTGAACTATCCTTGACGTGGTTGCGATCATTCTGGGACTGGGACGCGCTCAACCTGAGTCTGCTACGCGCTGATTTGGGGCCGCTCCACGCCGCTGGCACCGCCGATGACAATGTGGCCGCATTTATGAAACTTTCGAAATTCGCAGTCAACACTCACTGCCCGACCACCACCGTGACGTCACGCCAGTCCGGGTGCCATGTCTGCCTGAAGATACCGAAGTTTCCGCAGTTATTTAGGAGCGCGACTGCACCCGTAAGACCTGGGGGCGCTGCTGTACCGCAGATGCGCGTCGCGTGTACCAGCGGTGCCGTAACAGAGTGAAGGGACCGATCACTCTCACGGACGCTCGTACCTATGCACTGGTCTGCCGACAGGACGGCGAGATTTCTGGAGCCACCTCAAGCGATCCGGACTGCAGCAGGCGGGAGGGTGTGACACACCCCACTACGACACGTGCACCCGGGCCGACTCACTCAGTGCTCACTTCGGTACCTTTGGCCCAAGCATTGCTGCGCAGGCGGCGGAGGCGGCGCGAGGTAATGGGGGTGCGCCCCCGGTGCGTACCGTATTTGTGTCTCGGCGTTCTCCCTGCATCCAGCCACTCTACCGGAGCTTTGTGCAGCCATCAGGAGGATGAACGCGTCGAGGTCTGTCGCTGTCGACGGCCTACCGCCATATGCAGCGAACAAGTGTTTCCCTCTAATCGGCGCACATCTTCTACATTTGATCAATTTTTCTATCATATCACGCACCTTTCCGTCCATCTGGAGGAACGCGCACCTCATCCCGGTGTTCAAGTTGGGCGATCGATCAGACCAGAAAATCCTTCGGTCCATTTCAAACGGAGGGAAATCATTAACCTCGAGCTTGGAATTTCTGGTACCTTTGGATCGGGAAAGCATGAAACGGCCTTCTTGAGTTTGGTTTGGGAAGCTGAGCCCACCCGGAAACATAATATATTGTTTTTTTTCTTTTCAGGCGGCCTAGAAATCCAGTTTAAACATGTATATACCAATTACTGGGGCGCAACCAAAGGTGCCCACGAGGCACCACATGTCTCGTCAGGTTTAGAACATGCCTAAGGTGTGGTGGAGAGTATGGTCATTACGGCTGGATGTCTTATTCACCTTTTCCCAAAGCGCATACGTCTTTTCCATAATGGGAGATGGTCTCCAAGGGGCCCACGTGTTGGAAGCCACCCCCCAGTGTTGGCTGCCACCGGTTGGAATTTTGTCACGTACTTCGCTGCCCTGGATGTCGAACTCCTCCGCTGTTTTTTCGCGGTCAAGGTCGGCAAATCTAGTCGTAAATCCAGTTTAAACGTTAGGCCCCTTCAAGTCCCGAAGGTGAAAGACGGCTGCTTTTGTGATTGGACTATCCTTTTGTCTCGGGCAGGTGTGTCAGGATTCTTTGTAGAAACAGTTATCCTGGAATTGATTGAATGCCATTGTATAAATGAACATGTTGAATGCGTGCATGACATCGAAAGTTGATGATATGAAAGTTGAAAGATCACAAGATAAATGGAACCATTCCGAGTGCAAATCACGCTTTCAATCTTCCGCTAGTTACCTGTTTAAGAGTCCTTTCCATTGCGGAGCTGAACTGATGAACGTCTTCGTTTCAACACGCCATGCCCGCGCCGACTAACAGGCAGCTTCAGACACACGATGATCTGTAGATGGCGCTGGTGCAAAATCGCGCACTGCCCAGCAACCGGCCGCCGGCTGGGAGTCATCGTCGCAAGGCTTAAAGCGAAGGCTTTCCGTAAACCAGCAGTGCTCAAGGCTACTTTCGGTGATCGGCACCTGGGGACTGCTGCGCGGGGGCTTCGCCATAAGCCAGACCTTCACATGCTCTATACATAGCGATGACGTCACTTGTGTAGTGACCACAGCACAGCGTGGCCGCAGGCCATCAAAGCCATCAAACTCTTGTTATTCATTTCATGAGGAATGTCATCAGACTTCGACATCAAACTCACGATTCTTTTCTAAGGGAAAAAGCCTGGTCGCTTCTGACCGCTTCTGGTAGTCAACAGCCTCTTGGGTGTCTTTAAAAGACGGCTTGGATAATCACAGGTCAATTTCTACCTTGATCGAATCATCCCACCGACTTACCTTGACCTTTCAATGTCTCTCGTCGTTGAAAGGAGGATGCTGAATCAGGGCACCGCCAACGATTTAAGAAAGGTCAAAAATTAAGCCCTAGGCAGGCATTCATGACACTGTAATCCAAATCCCGCCTGCAAGGTTGCAGCCCATTGAAAGTTACCGCCCACCTCATATCGCTCGCATCGCAACGCTTTAAACATGCTCTTGTGGCCAGATGAATCTCCAAGTCTAGACTTTTCAGAATATTACACTGACCAGTTCGGGAAACTGGGGTCGGCTGCTAAAACAGCCAAGTGGCCGACCGAACGGACAATGGAAATACACTGATGTGTCGCCGACCTGTGACCGAGTCCGCCGACCTGTGACCGAGTCCGCCGACCAACTAAAAATCACAGGATATGTTTGTCGCCGGGTTGGAATGAAACCTAGAAAAGATACCATAGCGCCGTAGAGTACGGTAAAGATTTTCACGGAAATGTTCGCTGGTGTTTTGTGGCGAAATGCATTACCATGAATGCATAATATCTACGTATGGAGGCCTCATATTTTGCTTTGCACGGTGTGCTGTATTTGTTCGTCTTGGCTGTCACCAAAACTTGCTGTCCAAAAAATCATTGGCACCAAGCTTCACGTGGATGCATACGTTTCTTGTCGCTGACCTTATCCACCAAGTTGGCAGATTTTACCACCCTTGCCGCGGTGCTGCGCCTGAGTCGCGAACGATCCCTCGAGATGTAGCGGGCTCGGAGCACCTCGCCGCGACACCTCGGCACCCACGGCCGGCGATCTCACTCCAACTGCTGGCTAACGGTCCCGAGATCCCGTCCGCTTCGGAAAGTTCGACGCCATAATCCTCCGGGCCGAGGCTGAGGTGTCCGTAGCGGATCCCACCCCAGACGAGAGGGACATTTGCCAAACGAGCGTGGACACCGTGCGCTGATCCATCAGTAATCGTGCCAGGTCAAGCAGCAGGAAGGAGAATATATATTTATGAGACTAGGGAATGGGCAACCCACGCGCTCGTTAAAAGAATCCGTGCAGCGCATGCGCTGCACAGAGCTAGACCACACCGATCTAAACAATGAGACAAGAGACAAAAAAGGACAAAGTACACGGGTACGGATGCCATGCGAAATCAGGTAAAGAAAACCCTAACCTTTCCTTTGTAACCTTTCCCTGGCCTGGGTAAAGAAAAAAGGCCAGCATAGCACGGATTTGCCAGCAGGGCCGCAGAGTTGAGCTTCCTTCGTGTCGTTGCTCGGGAATCCCGCCGTGATGATGTCATGGAGGTCTCGGCTCTCAGGATCTCGGGTGGCGGCCGCTCGGACGGAGTCCGGTCTTGACACGGCGCGATCCGAGCATCATCTTCAGAGGTCGCACTCAAAGCAGCAGCCAGGGCGTCGTACAGCGCGTTATTCACCTTCGCAACGTTAGAGTCTAGGTCGCTTCAAGCGCCAACTTATGGAGTTTCTACTGAGTGAGGCGAATGTTGGAACATGAGTGGATGCGTGTGCGAGTTCGATTGTGTGTGATGCCACAATGTGAATGCAATAGTGTGATTCACTGAGATGATCCCTCGACCGATGTGTGATGTGTTAAGCTTTTTCTGCTAGGTTTCACATTGTCTCCTTTACGCCCGTTTTTATCAATGATGACGTGTAACTTTTAAAAAGCCACTGGATCTTGTGGAAAGCTACGAAATATGTGAACATTGGACATTGAACATTGACCTCTAATCTAGAAGACAGTTGTAGATTACACAAGTTTTCTTTTTAGTCAATGCGTTCCTTAGTAGCTAATTTTTAATGACGTCATCGTACCCTGCCCAACCTTGATTGAGAGCTAATTGACGGCCGTTTCAACTGGAAATGGTGCTCACGAATGCAAGCTATGTGACTCGACAATAATATTTTTCTTGGACTTGATTGTCGCATGGCTAATGGAATAACAGGATTTTAATGACGTTGCTACTGCGTAATGGATGCCTGGGTCACTTTAAAATAGTCTCACGGAGACTATTTCAAAGTGACCCAGGCACCTGCACGTCTTCAGGTGCGTGTAGTTCAGATACCACGGAGTCTTAGGTCTTAGAGAGGGCAAAACTGTGAACTGCGCCGAATGATCTCCAAGGTGGCTTTTTCAGTGGAGTTTATTTCAGTTTATTCCCATACAAATGTGGAGCACTCCCTTTAAAGACTTAAACATTAATTGTGAGCCAAGAAAGCAGGGAAATGATCAATGCAGACATCCATCAAAGTGTAAATCCATCTACATACAGGTAAACAAAAAGGTTCATGAATGAAAAGGAATGACATTGCATTGCTGGATGGAAGACAATATTTCACACCATTCATGCGTTCCTATCTTAGAAAATAGATTTGGGGTGCTTATCGCCTGCACCATCCGCCTGTTTGCGGCTACCAACTGGCATGCCAGTAGTATGATGAACCAGGAGGCTGACTATATAATACGCAACCCTAGACAAACGTCGACGCTTTTAGTAAGGGTCAGTATTGTTGCATATGAATGATGAATAGGCTGTACATAACACCCAACTATGTTCAGCTTCGAACAGATGTCTCACAACCGTCATTCCCAAAGGATGCCACCCTGCACCACATGGATGAAGGGGGTAGAAATCTGCAAGTTATTGCCCTACATTCTCATTTCTACAATAGCTTTAGTCCCATTTTTAGTATAGTTTTATAGTCATCTTAACAATAGTTTTAGTTTCTCATCTTCACAAT